TTGGCAAGTGGTGGTGACGTGTGGCCAAACGTGATAAGTATCATAAATGTGTGTTGGCATTGGATCTTATTTTCGGCAATATACCGAAATCCAATCCGAATAAATATTTTACATTTTTTTATTTTAAACGTGTTGAATTTATTTTTGCAATGGTGAACCTCTGTACATTGCGTTGCTTCATTTTATCTTCTCTAATACCCTGAAAAATGTTACCCAGCTTTTCTGTTAGAGCATGACTTTAATCCCACTATGTGCTGGTTTAAACTGCTTATGTTGAAGAATCACGGCAGTATGTGCGTAACACAATGAGCTGTCATTACAGTCATGCTACAGCCTGGGATCATAGCGGGAGGCAGGGATGGATTGTCTTACACACACACACACACACACACACACACACACACACATTAAATAATCCGGTTCGACACACCGCTTAGAAACGACGACTATAAGTGCATTGTACGCAGTGTCTATCAAATTAATTATGGTAGTAGGATCGGATAAGAAAGAAATGAGTCCAATTTTACATGACAGATAATAATTTAGTGCCATTTCCTTACAATATAAACAATGCTTATCCCTAGCTATTGCTAGATTATGTAGTACGATAACCCGTATCCTCAAAATCAAATCCCTTCAGCCGCAGAAGTAATGTCATGATTCCAGTATAACAGTCACATCTGCTCCAAGTCGTTCCTCACACACTGAGTCACACACACTTAGTCTTGTCAACGTGATGTCACCATGTCCTCCAGCTTTCCTTTCCTGTAAAAAAAAATAAGAATAGCGTTGCTACGGAGACAGAGCCGGGACGTCGTTTCATCCTCGTGACGTCTCCAGGGCCAGCCGAAGTATCAGCCAATGGCGAGGGGACAATAAAAGCAAAGCTGCTATTTTTGGGAACCGGCCGTGGCATTACTCAGCAGAGTGCAGCACAGTCAGACTGTCACATTCCAACAGTGGAACAGTGATAACGAGCTGTTGTGTCTCTCTAATGAAATAAAAAGTGAGGTGACCAGAGAGAATCCTTCCTGCTTCCTGTCGAACCGGATTCCTTCAGGAAGTGTGTGTTCAAGTGATATACGGTCGTGGCTATAAAGTGCTCTTTTCATTACAGTGGACTTTACAGAGCGGAGGATTTAGATAAGCCACAGTTAATTAAACTGTAGATGTTCCCCCTCCACATGCTGACTCTTTCCTCCTGAATAAGAGACAGATGGCAGAGGGTATTTATGTAATAGTAAAAAGCCCTTCCTGTAACATTCCTGTAACAGTGCTCATAACTTGATAAGCTCCAGGCTCACGTCACTAATAAACGGACTGACATTTTTCCGATCACATGAACCTCGAGAAGGCAAAAAGCATAGCTGAAGACGGGACTACTGACTGATTTCTGCTGTCATAATAAGTGTCTTTTCTCTAAACAAAGCGGTTCCCTCTGGGTCTGGAAAGTGACAAACTGCCATCTTAAAGCTCCGATATAGGGTGAATTGCCACCCTAATGTTGCAAATGCACAGCAGCATCCTGGTACTAGTTGCACATATTTGATTGAGCTAAAATGCAGACTTTTGGAGCTGTAGCGGCATTTTCTATAAGCCTCATTGCAAAAGCAGTGCAATACACAAAAAGTCTCAAAAAACTAAAGTAAGAGAAAGAAATGAATACCTTCTTCATTAATACTGTATTATTAAACCCTTGTGCATATGTTAACCATAATCTCAAATGACAGAAATGAAATAGGCTTAAAGCTGCATTCACATGACACATATTTGCCATTTGCTAACTGCAGGGTTTAGGGCAAAGCCTTTCTTTGGAAACAACTACCGGTAGTTAAGTTTCCTAATTTGGGATCAACAAAGTACCTCTTATCTTATCTTACATCCCCAACTAGCTTGAGCCATTTTATTCAGTAAGTCTCAGTTTTTGTGCGGATCGCCCACAGTATTCAATGTATGTAAGTCTCTTTGGATAAAAGCGTCTAACAAGTGACGTGTACTGTACTGAAACGCAATAATGGAGTTTTTAAATAAAAGGGATTTCATAAGCTTGACTTTTAGGGGTTTGAAAACGCAAGTTGCTGGACTCTAGAATAAGCGTTGCATTTTAAGCGAAAAAGTAATAGTGTGTATGCAGCATTATGTCCTTCTTATGTTGATGCACAGCAGCGATCTAAGGATTATGAGACACTTCCAGTAATTTCTCGAACGCTCATATAACACATTCTGACATTACAAGTCTGCCGATACCTGTCTTTATGGTGTTACAGAGGACTACTTTTCTGGGTCAGCGAGGTCATCCATTGTACAGAGAGTGGTCGTTCCTGAGAGGTTGTCAGGTCAGGTCACATCCAGGGTTTGCAGAGCGCTGTGGTGAAAACAGTTAAGTTTCAATTCTATAACCTCCCCTGCTGGCTATCTGTTTGGTTGCGCGTTGAAAGGTCAGCGCTAACAGAGGTCAAAGATGAAATCATTTGAACTTTCATCGCTGTGCTCTGTGAACATTTTGAGCAGCACTTTCTCCATAGAAACACAACAGCAACGTCAGCAAAGAAACGCTTTAACCATATATCATGTGAAGGCAGCTTTAGTTGAAAGTTCTTAACTGATTCTCTTGTTAGATATAAAATTGGTCTCAAGGTAAGGAAACAAGCTACTATCACTTGTTATATATACATATTTACACTCGCTGATTGATTTGAGCGAACGGTTAAAGCATTGTTGCTTTAGGGGCTCTATTGAGTGTCTTTTCTTTTTAAATTTCAAGCCTCAATTGAAATGATCTTTTGACCATCGAAGCTTTCACTCTCTTACCCTCAAACTACAGTACAGCCCTTTTAGCCTTTTCTCTGGTCTCACCTCTGGTCACCTCATGCTGTTCTTGATAAATAGTTCTTACAGATATTGCGCTCGAGCTTCACTGCAGGTGAGGGTAATGGGAGGAGGGGCCTTGTGGGTAAGATAGATTTCCAGTGCCTGTGAGATCAGGTGACTGGTGTTAGGCTGCCGGCCCTGCACAGTTGGTCTCTGCCTAGAAAATACAAGCTCACGTTACCACACTGTTAGTTTCTCTGCTTGGCCTCCAGTCAGATTGTTTTCATACAGAAAATAGAAGCTGGTCAAATGAGCTTTTGGTTTCTCATACGTACTGTATCATGCCACAATGAAAACTCTTGAACAGCTAATGAAATGTCACAATAGCAGAAAAACGTGACACTTCTTTTGCTGAGGTATGATTCAGCCATGTGAAATGAATTCCATTTGGCTTTCTGAAGCGTTATTGTAAGCTGCTTCTGCTCCTCAGTTGAGTCACAAGTTTATTCCTTCTCCACCCCCGCATTCTTTGTTAGTTCTTCCTCTAGCTAAGCAATTATATAACTACTCAACTTATGTCATGAAGTCGAGCTGCAGCAAGTGATGACATAAGTTCAGAAAAGCACTCTGGTACCATTCTAAGATCATGATTATAAGCTTTGCCTCGGTTGTGTTTGGCTGAGTTTAAATGTCTAGATTTCATGATGTCTTAAGCTGAGAATTTGAAAGCTGCAGAGTAGAAAATCCTTAAGGTGCACTGATTCCGTGATATCTACCATAAGAGAATCTGACTAAGAGATAACAAAAATAAGTTCCTTTTTCAAGATAATGCTCATTAAAAACCTTCTACTGTTACTCCCAGACCAACACAAAATGCAACTGTGGAGGGTATACAGATCATCTCCTTGTCACATGTCTGGCTTGCTGGGGGTATAAATTACAACAGCTGATCAGAAACCGGTTTATTGCCAAGATAGTTTACAAGGAATTTGGTTTAGTGTGTATAGTGCATACAGACACATTAAGAAATGAAATTGTAAGAAAAGGACTGTAGCGGCTAAATCATAAAGAAATCAAACAGAAAATGAACTTCACAGTATAGGTTCCACTGAGGCACCAGATAGCGATAACGCTGGGAAATGATCCAATGTCCAAGCAAGAAGTTCCTTTTGTGCAGTTTATTCCAATGATCCAATAATCCAACAGTATAACGTGTTTAACCAATCCTACTCTTTGTTCCTTTTCTTGTGGCATTCCTAGTTTCTTTCCCTGCTAAAAAAAACACTTGCCCATTCTGGCGCACCAATCCCACTTCCACCTGTCAATAAATACCTAAATGCCCGAGCCCAAATCACCCTGTGCTAAAAGCTGCCTTCAAAATAAAAGCGCAAAAAACTAAGTAGAGCAAAATATGATAAAGAACATGGAAAATACAAATGTGTGCATTGTTTGGAATTGGTGAGCCCTGCCTATTTAAAATGAGGGCCTAGGACAGAAATGTGTTTCTTTGCAGGGTTTAAATTATTTAAATGAACCAGATTGGCTCCCATGATGTGCATTAATGTGATGCATAGTGCCTTTTGAGGGGGTCAGTGTCAGTGGGGGGCTCAGGCCTTGTTGATGACGGAATGTACTTTACTGTACTAGCTTACTCTTTACTACTTTTTAAGTGTTTAAATGTTGTTTCTAACTTATTCTTCCTCTTCGGCTAATCCTAAATATAGTTATTACTTAATACATTTGTCAGGTAGACACTCCAGTCACAGGTCAATAGAAATAGTTCCCAAAATGTAGTAAACCTGGAGCTAAAACTGTACTGTAGCAAAGGAGAAGAGAATAAAAAGTATTCAAAGTATTTATCAGAGATTTTTGTGACTGATCAATCAATTCAAGATAAAACTCTGAAGGCACAGACGTAAACATAAGTACAAGACAGGAAATTCAAGTTCAAACCAATCCTACATCAAATAGTTTAGGCTCTTTAATCTTACTGTACACATGTCTTCTGGAATGAAAACCAGACTCTCATATTTAAAAATGTTCACTGTTTAAAAATGGCAAGAAAATGCGTTTTGGGTAGACGACACTTTATTTCTTCTTGTGTGAATTTAAATACATAAATCTAGTTGTCATGTAGTAACATTATGAGATAGATTTTCACCTGTATATTCTGTGTTTTTGTCTTTCAGAATTCAAAGAGTGCCCAAGGCCTGGTAGGATTAAAGAACCTAGGAAACACAGTAAGTACACTCGTACCACATCTAAGTCTGAAAATGTGTGTGGAGCCAAACAGCTCATTCTTCACACACCACCTCCTCCTCCTCCTCCTCCTCATCCGGATGGTGTTACACTGAGTGCAGTTTGTTGAATCCACACAGGAGGGGTGGTCCAGAGTTTCTATCTACCAGGCAACAGGCAGAAGGACAGCTCTTAAAATAAATGTGTGTGTGTGTGTGTGTGTGTGTGTGTGTGTGTGTGTGTGTGTGTGTGTGTGTGTGTGTGTGTGTGTGTGTGTGTGTGTGTGTGTGTGTCGTGTGTGTAGTAGTGTGTAGTAGTGTAGTAGTACGTAGTAGTAGTAGTAGTACGTAGTAGTAGTACGTAGTACGTAGTACGTACGTAGTACGTAGTAAGTAGTACG